CAAATCTCTCGTTAGAATACGTACCAACTCACCGTGTCTCATTTGATAACAGTTCAGGGATGCCCCGAGCTTAAAGGCCCATACGGTGGTGATAGAAAGTGCAGTAGCTTTGGTCAAATAAAATACTGCACTATCACGTGTCCAAGTGACAAGCAGATCTATAAAAATCCATCCCCGTATAGCGTCTGGACATGTAACAGTGCGAAATGGGATCCGACCCCTGCAGTACCGGATTGTGTTGGTGAGTTATACTACACTTATGTCATGATATATCATAAGTTGTACCATGCTAATATCTAGTTCATGATATATTAAAAGTCGTACCATACTAATAGCTAGGTCATGATATATCATAAGTTGTACCATGCTAATAGGTCATGGTATATCATAAATTGTACCATGCTAATATCTAGGTCATGATATATCATAAATTGTACCATGCTAATAGCTAGGTCATGATATATCGTAAGTTGTACCATGCTAATAGCTAGGTCATGGTATATCATAAGTTGTACCATGCTAATATCTAGGTCATGATATATCATAAGCTGTACCATGCTAATAGCTAGGTCATGGTATATCATAAATTGTACCATGTCATATCACATTTATAGTCATGGTATACCATGTCATATCACACTTATAGCTATGATATACCATGTCATATCACACATATGTCATGTCATGTCACATGGTATATCATAACTTCTACCACACTTATTATTGTCAAATTTTCAACATCCATTTTTTTCTTCAGCTGCCGCCTTAAAAGATGACAGTTCTTGCACCGGTAATCAAGTAGAAATGGCCATCGCATTCAGCTCAGGATCTAAAACTTATTGTGGTATGTAGACAAATCTTTGCYAAATAGACCATAATMCCAAATTACCGCTGTGTTCCTTGATTACAGACTCATTTACACAGRGTTAGCCTCGAATCAGTGTTTAAATATTCACAAATACCAACGGTAAAGTAAAGAATGCACAACTTCAACAATACAAACACTTTGAAACTCGACGGACCTTGACTRGAACACGTGAATATTCTTCACAAACTCGAGGCTAACCYTGTGCAAACGAGTCTGTAATCAAGAAACACAGCGGTAATTTGGGATTCGAAAAGGGTCTATTCCTCGAACGCGAAAGACAGGATCTCTACAAAACCCTTCAACAGTTAAAGGTATAAAATTTTGAATTCTCCTTTTTCTCCTGCAGCTGATTGCCCACGAGGTACGTACTCAAGTAACGGCAAGTGCAAACCATGTGCTGCTGGTCAATACCAGGATCAGCAAGGAAGTGCAACGTGCAAGGATTGTGCATCCGGGACTTCATCCCTGGCWGGAGCAAATGATGTCAAGCAGTGTCGTGGTATGTATACAAATCATGTGTGTCACATGATCATGTATGTATTAAGGTTCACGGTGACCATRTTGTATTTTATACATCTTTCGCCTGGAAGTAATGTTGTGCCATTTCAAGATCAGACTACGTGTCATTCTCTTGAAAATAACATTATTTGTTTGAGTTGTATCCATATTCATGTAWCTTCTCATGCGCAACCATTAAACAAAGAAATGATACTCTAGGGAATGACRAGTGGACTGAAATGGCAAAACATTACGCGCAAGGTAAAAAGGTCGACTCTTTTCCAGGTCTCCTCCAGCTTGCTACTTCTTTTCATTCTTCCTCTTCCAAGCATAACTTATGACTCCTTCTTCCTCTGCCAGTGACAACACAGATAACTAAATCTTCTGTTTCTCTCTCTGCCAGTTGTCTGCCGTCCCGGCCATTATTCCGTTGATGGAATGGACCCTGGTTGCCAACTGTGTCCAAAGAACACGTATCAAAACAACCCTAAAGCAACGTCTTGTATTCCTTGTCCTGCTGGAACTACTACACTCAGCTTGGGAATGTCAAAGCTTTCACACTGTGGAGGTATGGATGTATGCTGGGGTACAGCAGAAATAGTTTGATGAGACRAGGTCCTTTGGTGGGATTTTTGTGGGGGGAGGGGAGGGGAGAATAAGAGCCATGAGAAGGCGTTATGCGAGGTTRGGATTCTTACGTAGGCAAGAAAGAAGGGTAAGGAACGATTACAGTGCAATTACTGTACGTAACTGGGGCCAATTACACCACTTAGACACGAGAGCCAATTAAAATGTAAAATGAAAATAATGCATTCTAACTTTGGGTAGTGTAGCCAATCAGAAACCTAGACTGCACGAGAATTGTAATTTGACCCTCGCCAAATCGTTTGACTTTCGAATAAAAAAGAAAAACCTTTTTGCCTCTCTTGTTGGCCACGACAAGCGAAGAATGGTTCAGGTCTCCTACCTTTGATGAATGTTACGGGTTTTTTTTTTTTTTTTTTGCAGCAAAACCCGTTATCACCAGTGTCACTCCAAAAACCAAAACAATAGACGAACGACAGAGTACATCAATCAGCTGCTATGTTACTGGTTCGCCAACACCATCTATCACACTCAAGTTTAGGAGAAACATCTCAGGTAAGGCCCATTTTTTATGAGAAAGGATTTTCTTTACGTCGTTATCGTTTATCGTTTAGCAGCGATAAAATAGGAAGCCATTTCGAGGTTAACGGAAAGTGTCGTACCATGTATCATTTATGTACAGTATTCAAGTACGTTTCACACTCATACTTATAGAAAACCATTWYAATGTTACGGCATGTCGTAGTGGGTGTCGTACCATGTATTATTTACGTGCTGTATTTAAATATAAGAATCGTATGTTCCCATTCTTATGGGAAGCCATTTCAGTGTTACGGCATGTTGTACCATGTAAGTGCAGCATTTCAGTACCGCTTTCCACGCAAACGATAACCATTCTTATGGGAAACCATTTCAGTGTTACGGCATGTCGTACCGTTTAAGTGCAGCATTTCAGTACCGCTTCCCATTCATACGAAAAGCGCTTTAGATTATTTTTGAAATACAAGTCAGCGTAAAATTATGAGTTCAAATGTCTTCTTCAATTCAGCTGGATTCCTTGGTCAAGAGACCAGAGAGTTTTTGCGAGACTCCAATGGGAAGGTTATTGGCATCAAGCTTACCATCACAGGTGCAACATACGAAAACTCAGGCAATTACGAATGTTCGGCTGAGAATCCGTTTGGTAAAGTCGTTGAGCTTTCAACACTGACTGTCAATCAAGTGTTTGGTTCGGGAGCCGATGCTAGTTTCGATGTAGGTGAGTTGTTAATACCCTGATGTTGTCATAATTACCAAAAACTTATCGCAAAAATAATTGCACATCTTAGGTAAGCACCATATGTTATTATATAGTTAGAATATTACGCGCACAATGATTGGTCCAAAACTGTGCTTTATTAGTAAACGGAGCACAGTGCTGACGCCATCCGYGAAGTCGCTGTTAGATCCTGCGACCGTCTTTCTTTTTGCGTAAATAAATTAAATACTGAAAAAAATTAGCTATATAATAAAACRAACAAACAGCTTTTTACGTGCTCCATTCAGTAATAAAGCACATATAGGAAGCGTCGTAACCACTCAAGAAGTGTGAGAAGCACTCGCCTACGGCTCGTGCTTCTTCTTACGCTTCTTTCGTGCTTACGCCACTTCCTGCGTGCTTTATTACTATGGGAACGGAGCAAGGAAAAAGCTGTTTTATTTGTTAAAACCATTTGTTTCTTTTCAGATGACTTAATCTAAGAAGTCTCCACTTCTTTCGATAAACAACATGGACTTTCATATAATTATAACATAAGACAGGAAAAAAAAAAAGGAAAAAAAAAACCAGATCCTAATATTCTTAAATTTTGGTTGATTTTAAAACATTTCTGAACATTTAAATGAAAAGAAATAAACTACATTCCAAATCATTTTGCTGTTGRTTTTTAACAAAACAAAATAAAWAATAATAATAATCACTCTCCTTCAATACTAATTCTTTCTTCTTCCTCTGATCGTCCCTGTATTCTCTTGCTATAATTCTATATACAGATTTAGCTGGAAGTTTTGAAGATATGTTTTTTTTTTTGGATAATTTTGTTCTTCAAACAGCAACCAGTTTTCAGGTCTTGACGATTTAATCACAGTCTAACAACAACAGTAGTTATCCGACTCAAAAAATCTTATTTAAGCGAAAAGTAAACATTTAATTTAAGCAATTAACTATGAAAACAAATTTGTACCAACTAAACTTACGAAAACACGGCGCTCAGCAACGAAACATGTCCGTCCATTACCACTTATTCTTCTCACTAGTTAAAAAATCAAACCAAAGATTAAAAAAAGGTTAAAAATTGCCAATGTTATGTCTAGAGGCGTCTGTAGATGGTCTGTTGTAGATTGTTATATCTTTCTTTCATTGTTCATTTGACAGGTGGCTATGCTAAGAGCTAGMTTTCTTCTGTGTCCTGCCTTCTTAGTGTGTTTACCTTTCTCGGCTGACATTCACTGTAAATCCGGCTCTAAGTCACGAACTTACTTTTGTCTCAATCTTACCAATATTGCTACTTTAATCTATCATTTATATTCCTTTAATTGCTCTCTTTCTACTCTAAAATGCTTTGTTTAAGTACATTTTCTACTATCTTCCTCATCTCTTGGAGTCCGCACGTGCAAGCTGGCTGGCTCATGTGTCAGCCGTCACGTGACCGAGGTCCCTGATATTCATTCCCTTGTTAACCAAACGTGTTTTTCGTCTTGAATGAAATGATTGAAATGTCGTAGCACTGGTGTTCCGAGAGAGTCCATTACGTCGCCAACAACCTATCAAGATAAACGTTTATACAGGAAATAATTGAATAAATTTGAATAAAGTTTGGACGGTGTAATTTTGTTACAAAAAATAATAAATTAAATTAAATTAAAAAACGAGAAACTAAGAAAGAAAAAGAAACTAGAGTGAAGTCATTAAATCCGTGAAATAGATGTTATACTAATACACTTTAGTAGACCTTAATTTCATCGTTTTCTTTTGTGTCTTTTCAGTGACTATTATACGTTGACTAGTATTTTTTATTTCACGGGTTAAATGCCTTCGCTCTAGTTAAAGCTGAATTTTTCAATGCTGAGATATGTATTTTCTTCAGTAACTGTTCATGTAATTGTTTTAAACAATTCAAACAAAAATTCTTGAACTTACTTCAACATCAACGCGATGTCCTCCAATGTTCACGCATGCGTAGTACACAGGTGTCTTGATTATTTTTCCACCTGCMCCACACTGCTTTGCGGTCCCAATGCAGTCTAACTGGAGTTCACTAATGACGTCATGGCGTAGTGTAACTACGTCACTTCCAGAATCCACCAGGAACTTGACAGTTCTTTTTTGGTCTGTGAGAGCGGTTTTGCTTGCGTCTTTGATGTTGTTTTTATAAACCTCAGCTGTTAGACACAGAAAATAACCATTCCTGCATAAGAAAACACAATCTTTTCACGATRACAGCTGAATTAGAACGACGCTCGCGAGGCCTCTTTTATCAGTAATGGCGGGAAAATTAAACTAGGAATTAACAATCGATAATAGACACAGTTTAAGCGACAATTGATATTTACAGAAAGGTGAAAAATATTCTTTCACAGACACGCCATCAGATACACAGTTATTAAACGAAAAAATATATTTTTAAAATCTTTAAAATTTAAGATACTGATGAAGCTCTTTACCTTCCTCCAGCAAGATGCTCGTGTTTATCCCATTTTCCAGTGGCCACAACATGCGATTTATTACACTCGGCCAAAACCTGGACTAAAACCAATGAAAAACCTAATAAATCAGATTGATGTCAGATTGACAAAATATTCAAATATTTACAATATGAATACATGTACAAAGCTGGTAAAAAGCCATACAGACCTGCCCTAAGGAGTCTACATCGATGGGCTTGGCTGGCAATCCCGGAAATTTCTTTCGAAGTTTTACTCAAATTGATGTAAGATTTTAAGTTCGTCAAGCCAAATGAGAAAAGCGACTCTTGATACGATGAAAGTCCAAGATCTTGAAGCCATAGACTTACAACGACTCTTTCTGGCAAGAAAAACAGTCGAGGAAAGTTTATTAAAAGGGAAAAAACTTCGATAAGCATTGTTATAAACTACTAAGATGACGGCTTCAAATCTTTAAAGTACTTTGTTATCGACGGGCGTTGTTACATTAACAGGTGTTGGAAACAGACATGCCAAGTTATAAAAAAAATCACTTTTTCAAGTGTGATTTATTTCAGTTTTTTTAGACAAGGAAACCATGCTTAAGATAAACGCCTTTTTACTTTTGAACAACTGAGAAATATTTCCTCCCTAAAAGAGCCTGTAARCTTCCTGTGCCAAAACTAGCAGTAGTAATTGAGGATTGTTTCAGACTACATCGAAGTAAATCATGTTCAACCTAGGAGTGTGATTCTTGTGGATATCGCTCGAAAAGCAGACAGTGCTGGGGGATTAGTGCGGGTTTGTGAACAATAGGCCAACAGGTGGTTGAGTAAAAACAGTASTAGAAACACCAGGAAAACAATGATCTAGTGCTATGACCTGTTACTTGAATGTATCAAAACCCCAAAAGTTATGTGTTAAYTGCTCAGCTTCTGACTATTCACAATTCAAAGTATTATCAATGAATCAGATCACCATCCAAATGTTTGGACTATCATTCATGTTTTTAGTAACTCCGCAGTTCATTGGCAAAACTATCTGAAAATCCATCCAATTCGTTTTTCAAAAACAAAGATTGTATATGTAATTGAATTATATTCAAAGYCTTTAAAAATATCACCTTACCTTCGTACAAACTGCGTAGAAATTTCTCCTTGACATTAGGGTTTGTTATGATGGCGTCAATGTCTTCTTTCTTAATGCAGACAATATCTTGAAGGCGATCGTATCCCAAAGAAATAAAAGCACTAGAAACATGGCCAAGTCGTAGAGAGTTAAATAACTCTACAATGATCTCTTTATTGCTCATATTCGATTCTTCCCCAATTGGAAAATTCTACAAATAATTTTCAAAAGTCTCCAAGGTTGTTTAGCTCGTGAGTTAGAATCAACAGAAACCAGGACGCGTTTTTTCGTGTTTTAAAAAARGGAGAATTTTAAGTGTTCATTCAATCGTCAGCAAAAAAAATCACTTGTATTTATATTTTTTCAGTTTTAAAACACAAACAAATCAAAACATGGTATTATTAAGGCCTTTTTATATATTGTCAAAGTTGCACGACAAACAATGGAGATTTAGTTTCGTCTTCCGGTTACAAAGGAAAACAGTAAAGTTGTAATGATAAACATGCAGGAAAAAAATACAAAAAAAAGCGAGTCTTCTTCGGTAATGGCTGTATTGTTAACATCTTGGTTTATTTATAAATACAACAAATAGTTTCTAATGATATTATCSATAAAAGCAAGTCTATGGTTTAGTTGTTGTGAGCTGCTGAGTTACTGATCGATTTAGTGTCGCTCTCTTCGTAGTGCTGACCAAACCACGTGGAATTTTAATAAGCCTGTCTTCCTCGGYTTTATATTGACACAAAGGCCAACAAAACCCTTCAAGAGCACTACTTAAAGATCTTAATGGCCGCGGGTCAAATAACCGTCTTTTGACAATCTCTTTAGACAAAGTAAGACTAGAACTTTGCTTTTGCTTTAAAAACTGAAAGCATTGYAATTTGTGAACATTCGGCAAAATTACCCACTTGTGATGTTTGTTGACAACAAAGGATAAGAGTGTATTCTCAAAGGGGAAAAAATCCCATGTGGTGCTTTTGCACAGGGATTTTTTAATTTTCCCTTTGTTTTAATCATTCAATAACCGTATGATAGTAAGATGACTGAAATRGTACGAGATTTAGAGTCATAAATCAAAGATCTTTATCAGTARGATTCACTTGAACAGAACTCGTCAACAGAACGACCATCTCCCCAGCTCAGAAGGGCTTTAAAGTGGTACTATATAATTGCAAACAGGTGTTAATCATGTTTAATGATTGACTATATTAGCAAGTCCTKTGTTATTAGGATTACTAGTAACAAAATGCTACAGATAGAGGTCAAATTAAATACGACTTCACAAAACGATGAATTATCATTCCTAGCAATAGTTTATAGTCTGAACCAAGTTGCTTGAAGCAAGATGGAACCTGGGGTATTTAAAGTGCCCTTCACCATCAACTAAATATTTTCACGAATTGAATAGTCGAATGCTAAAATATTTATATTGGTGATGAATCTTGGAGATATCCAGATATATTTTCTCAAAATGTTAATRAGTTTGATGTCATAGGAGGCATTGTTAAATTTACAAAACAATTCTGGGGCAGTAAAACATCCTGACGGTATAAATATCATTGTCTTACTCAGGGTTTATAAAAAGGCTATTGCAGATTTGCTTTCTCATTATAGTCATCAGTGTTTCGATCCACAAATGATGACAAGTAAACTCAAATGCCTTCTATGACATCACGCTCATTAGCATATTGGACATATGAAATCACCAAGATGCATCACTCAAATCATCAAATCCTATAAAGATATTTTACCATTCACTTTATGTAGAATTAATATCGATACAGCGGATGAGAGTAATGGTTGTGACCACCAAGATGACCATCTGAGCACATTCAATTCTGATTGGCTAAGTTCAAAGCCACCTGATGATGTCAAAGTCCACAATGACGTCAAAACATTCATATTGAGTTGTTAATATTGGCTAGACATCTTACGACATCTTATGCTATGGATATGTTAGGTGGAGTTGACCTTCGCTAAAGCCTACCGCTGTGCGATAAGACTACAGGCTCGTCTTTTTCTAATTCATTATTATTAGCTTGATCGGCAACATCAAAAGTAAAAGTAAATCAGGCCCGGTCGTACGAAGGGTGGATAGCGCTATCCCATGGATAAATATTATCCATTGCATATACATATTTGATAACAGCATCAATTTATTAGCCCGTGTACAGCCGCTTTCCACCCCTCCCCTACGGGGTGAAAACGTAGGGGGGAGGAGTGGGAAGCGGCTGTACACAGGCTACACTTTATACACTGAATAAGGATTTATCCGATGGATGGCGCTACCCTCCMTTCGTAGAACCAGGCCCAGATGAATAAGTAGATTGGTTGCCAAGGTAACAGATATGCGCACACATGACGTAATTCCTGGTGGAATTTAAACAAGTTACATACCAAGTTATACACTCTAACGGTTGTAATGTTAGCAYAATAATGATTTATTTATCAACACTTTTACTTTCCTGTCTGTTAAACATCAGTTTAGTTAATTCAAGGCGGTGCTCAGTGGGTCTGAACAACGTCTGGGAATGACAATACAYATGACGATAAGTGACTTCCGCGATAACACGAGTCAAATATACCATGAATTGCGAACACGTGGAGAAAGAATATACTTCCGGGTTAAAGGCTGGAAATAACAGGATTATATACGAACACAAGAAGAGGATCACTGAATTCAATATTTGTTTTAACATCGTTTATTGCTCTTGAACATTCCATAATTTAAGCCTAATATTTTCTTGAAATTGAATTTAATAATTATATCTAAGTCAACTTATAGTTTTAATAAATAACTTTACCGATGTATGAAATAACTGTACAGAAAATAATACAGAAAAATAATATTTAAAAAACATGCGAGAACATAGAAAAACAAGGCAGCTGGACTCGAAAAAAATCTTTAACGGTCGTGCCGGGTAAARTATTCATCAAGACTCTGAGAAGATCTGTCTGTTTGATACCGAATCAAAAATCAGAAAAAATCTACTAACAAACCACACGTATTTGAAAGCAAAGGAGCACTTATGGAGGTCATGCGACGTTCTAGACGCCATGTTTACATGAGACGCCATAGCGGCCACGTTGACATGTCACGTTCTAGACATCATGTTGACATGTGACGACATGAGCCGCCATGTTGACATGTGACGTCATAGCCGCCATGTTGAAGGAACTCAACAAGACGTGGTTGGTGACACTAGGGAAAAACGTTTGCGCATGAGTGCACTTCAGCACGTTTTCTAAGAATTTTGAAGGGTTTGAGTGAGAAAATAAACGTTTATTTTCTCCAAGTATACAAAAAAGCTCGAGAGTATACTTTTGTCAGACCAAGATACTGTATTAACAAACACAATATGAAAGAATTAGTCTTAAGTTTCAAGCATGGACATTAAGTTTTGGCAKTTTGTRAAGTCCAATCTATCAGGCATGTTAGAAAGTCAAATTTACTTATGTTTTGACTAATCTGGATACGGATTCAGRGCATGCGCAGWCGTTTTTCAYTCGTGTCGTGGTTGGTTTGCTTTGTCGTCTCAACGAGCATGATGAACATRCGTATGATTATATTGCTGCGTTGCTATGGTTACGTAACGATTAAAGGTGCCGTTCAGATACGGACACGCCGTGACTTACATCATAACATCTGTCGGGTTGCTTTAGACCCCTTGCAGTACGTCGGAATGGAGCTCAATTTGGAGGACATAACAATAGGTTTCCAATTCTTCTAATAAGATTGAAAATCTTTTGTTTTGTCAAATTGAGCTTCTTTGACGTCACATGAAAGGGGTCTACAGATATACCATGAACTCGTAAACTCGTAACCTCGACACGTTGCCATGGATACTTCACCATAAAAGGTGCTGTAACATCGCCACGTTGCCATGAGAACTCTCCGAGTAAGACATCATGATATCGTCACGTTGCTATGGATACATTATTTTCGCATTTGCGGTGTTTCACTCAGCTGATAAAATTCTTTGAATCTCAATATCTGCTCCAAATGGTGGTCAAACCCTGACCACCATGTGCTGTCAACCAGAAGGAATTCTATTGAAAATTCGAGATTCAGCTGATGAATATTCCTTGCCTAAGGGAATGAAATGTTGTTGTTGTAATAAATAACCTCCATGTGTTAAGTACTGAGGTCTTCACCTCACCCCAGCCAACAGAACATAAAAAAAATTTTTGTCCTATTTTCTTATCTCTTGAAATTCCCCCAAGTCAAGTCWATAAAATGACCATGCATGATTAACATAAATACCGCCCTTACGTCAGGTTATAATTAGAATATTGATATGGTTTAATAATATCCCCATTAATTGCCAATAWGAATTGAAAATTAAATTGAATGGCTCTTTAAAACAATTTTTAAAGTTTCAAAATAGTATGAGCCATGCATATCAAGAAAAAAGTCCTTGAAATTTGGACGAAGTAAGAAAAACATTTTCTCAATAGACCCTTTGAATGTGGTGTCAAAGCAGCTCAATTTGGACGACAAAACAAAAGAATTTCAATCTCAAGAGAATTGGAAACCTATTGTTATGTCCTCCAAATTGAGCTGYATTTTAACGTGCTGCAAGGGGTCAATAATGCGAGCCAAAACAAATTGGACAACATTAGTATTGATCCACGACCATACCCCACCCCTCYACCGGTAATATGTTTACATTCTATTCTAACCCATTGCATTGTTGATATTATACATAAGCTACCATCATAGAGGAACCTGGCAATGGAGTCATTTCTAGTCAATCGCCACGTGGTTTTTTTAATGTCGTATCGTATCTTCTTATGAGCTCCGCCTAGAAAGAAAAAATATGGAAAAAAGAATTAATTTCATAACATTTTATTTTATTCGATGTTGATGCGCGTGTATTTTGCTTTTACTTTGCGAATAGACTTCGAAATCAGTGCACATTTGAAAGTGTACAAGGCGGGAAAGAGCACGCGCGCGCAAACTCTTAGAAAATACATGTGCCAACAAAAACTCATTGTTGAGTGCATTTTATACAAGATAAGGTRCTATGACTCTCGAAATGATGGTTATTCTAGAGCTGAAACACTTCTCTCGGCAACTCCTGTTTGTCACGAGCGTAAGTACCAAAAAGAAAACTGTGCGCGCGCACGTGATAAGAAGAAAACGGTTCTCTAGTACTCTGATCGTATTTGCCACGCTCATCAAGCGAGTGCAGTTATGGACCGACGGCAGGTGTGTTCACGCACTGTGATTGGATGGATTTACTTTCGTGATTTTGATTAGTTAAAAGTGGAAGCCATATAAGTGTTGTTCTATTAATCAAATACAAACATTGGTAATAAAAATATTGTGTAGAAAAATCAGAACAAATCTCACCTGGCTAACTTTGCCAGACTCCTCTTGGGAGAATGCAAAACCAACTAAAGGAAACAAAMAAATATGTACTTCATTGTCTCAATGTTTAACTTCAGACGATAGGGAAGAACCTCGGTAGAGAGAAATAGGAGAAGAGACGGGAGAGAGAGAAGAGAGGAGAGAGAGAAGAGAGAGGAGAGGAGAGGAAGTGAAAGAGGGGAGGAGAAGGAGTGAGAGAAGAAGAGAATGAACGAAGAGAGGGAAAAATAGAGGAGAGAGAGGTACAAAGAGAAAAGAAAGAAACTTTATACTTACGAGCAGAGGCACCAGTGTCTTTCCTGTCCTCGAAGGCTTCGGCACGAGTCCATATTTTCCTACAAATTGTATTAACCATCATTAGATACAGTAATAATAGATTTAAAAAGTAACGCGAGGATTGTGTTACTTACGCGTGACGTGCGTGGTGCGTTTTGATGAGGACACTTGGGTCTCCCTGGTGACACAACACATATAATGTTAATAATAGATACATTGTCAAAGTCGAGGCTAACCCTGAGCAACAGAGAACTCGGAAAAACTCCGTCGAATTTTAAAAAACATCTCAGGAAAAGCGTTTTGTTATTATGTCTATTGTCATATATTGACAAAGAAACCAAGCTGGGGCTGATCGTGATGTAACGCGCAACTACCGGGTACTGTTGAGTCGTCACGTGATYATTTCCCGCCAAAATATCACAAGATACTTTACAGTACTCACGTGTTTGACTTCTATTTCTTGTATCTGTTCTTTCAAACTCTTGTTGAATGTTCTCATTATACTAAATTAATAAATAAGAGGCACGATCACTAAGACCTTACATGACACTACTGAGTATCAGATATAACGTAATGCAAGTTATTTCTCTTTCCTTTCCATTTCTCTCTTCCTAACTTTCTTTCTATTTTCAAGAGTCCAACATTCATTTATGAAGAAGGAATTAATATCCTTTAAGATCCCTTGCATGTGACGTCGAAGCAGCTCTATTTGAAGGACTAAACAAAAGAATTTCAATCTCATGAGAATTGTAAACCTGATATTTAGTAGTTCTGGTTACCTCTGGGCCCAGTTGTTCAAAGCCCGATTAGTGCTAATCCTGGGTTAACTCTTAATAAGACCTATAGAGTTAATTTTGGATTAGCGCTAATCCAGCTTTGAACAACTGGGCCCTGGACACCTATTATGTCATCCAAATTGAGCTGCATTTCGAYGTACTGGAAGGGGTTAATTGCAACATGTTCCCGGTGGAATAGATCACAAGAATAAGGGTAGAGGTGTGGTAGTGATTGGGAATGGGGGATAGGTTTAGAGTAGAGGTACTTAGATCTTACACTTTATAAAGGAAATCAGCCAGTAGAGTTATRACAGGAACAATAAACAATGACATCCAGAAGACAGGAGATGAGTACAGCATTTGATCCTGGTAAATAATCAAACAAATTAAAGAAGAAAAAAAACCCAAGTACAGTATTTTATCCTCAGTGCATACTCATTACCGAGCCACGGGAATTAAGATATGGAAGGTGACCGCGACTGCTGGCAATGAGCATGCGAAAAGCATACGATGCGTCGTCAACCGCCACCAGGGGAGGTGGGTGGGGTGAATCTTCTACTCTCTCCTTAGGCAGCTTCCGACAGAATGATTCAAGGATCTGGGTGTGGCGCTTATATATGCAGGGGTCGCAAAGCATTACACCCGCACTGCGCAAACTCCAATGTCCATAAATGGGGGGTTGCTAAATTCCTACGTGACACGCTAATTATGTATGCAGTGAGAATAGTAAAATAACACATGTAACAATCGATATAAAATGATTACGCTGGAACACGAAAAGTTCGACGTCCACAAAGCAGCTATAGTTGAAAATCGAAACTTTTTACCTGTCCTATCATATCTGGTGCGATATAGAGGGCCATGGCTGGAATACAATAGATGAGTAGGAAAAAGAACCAACTGGCGATGGACCCAAAGATCGACAGATGGCACAACTGAGAACAAACAATAACATGACGTCATTAGTACAAGAAAGTTACTTATTAAGTACCTTTCGTATTTGGTACGGTCAGGGTACGGAATCGAGGACATCATTTCAACCAATCACGATGCGCGAAAGCATTGATCAGCCAATGAAAATACCCGGACACGACACCGTCATAATTCAGTAATTTTTTTATGGCTGTGAAGCGACACGGCCAACGGCACAGAAATGATAACTTCATCCTTTGGGCCAATCACAGTGCGCGAGGGCATTGATCAACCATTGAAACTGATCTAAAGCAGACAAGAAAGACATACCCAATTCCAGGCATCCAGTTCCATTCCTGCTTTGAGACACACAGTAATCACTACAAGCTGTGGAGACAGACAGACAGTCAATTCATGAAAATCATATAGACTGGCTTCAATAGATTCAAAACGGAATCACAGTGGAGAATTTCTCTATTGCTACGCAATTTATTCTATCGATTCAATATCTTTATGTTCCTTCACAAATATATGACTCAATAAGGGTGTCTCTTAATAAGTCAACAAGGAATTTTCTGCAACAGAAAAAAGTTCTTTGGTTAAAAAAATCACCAAAATCAGGAAACAGACGTTTAAAGAACGAGAAAAAGTCCAGAGAAAGCTATAAATTGATCCATTAATCGCTTCTTCACCAGTAAAGTTTAAATAGAGGCATAAATGTAGATAAAACCTGGACACAGAATCTAATTCTCGAGTGACACATGGTCTGAAAAAGGAAAAGTATCTTTATTACGCGACAACCAGACGAATAGAGAGGCACACAGGCACACAGGCACACCGGCACACAGGCACACAGGCACGCAGGCATATTGGTAGGTGGAAGACAAACAGACAATCATCTCTAGGGTCTTACCGTGTATACTACGTTACCAAGATGCCATTCTCCTACGACTACCCCAGTCTTGTATGGTACCTCTGTTAACATGATAACAATAATCTATCAGGCACGATGAAGACCATTTGTCAAAAAAGTCTTGTAGCTATGGTCTTACAGATGTGGTAATAGTATAAAGCAAAGGGAAAATGCCAGACGCCTTTGCGCGACAAAATTCTCTCTATTCTACCATCCGCTTCTAACAAGGGCAATTGAAGGACCCATTTTACCCATTTATTTTTTTCACTTTTTATCTTATTTTATTTTTTCGATAAATTCTTTAGGCATTCCCCTCCACGAATCCTCGCGGGACCAGCGAGATCATTGCCAGTTTTTTTTGGAATTTATTAATAAGACTTTTAAGATAACCACAATAACATATGTGTTACAGAGTCACATTACATACCATGTCTAAGCATGAGAGTGGGCAGGTAGAAAAGGAGTAGAGAATGGTAGACGGAGGTTAGTATCCATAACCAGAACACCTGCGCAATGAAATTAAACATTAATATAATCCATGACAACCGATACTGCGAACCTATAATCTTTTACATCCATTTGGATTATGGCGCGAGCCCCACAACAGAGACGACGACGATGCGCTAGGTACCGCAAACTTTCAACATTTAGCAGGGCGTCATAACGAAGTTGTTACTGATAAAGCCGCCATATTGAATCTCGTTTATGCTGAGTGTTTCTACGTGTTTGCGGGCGTGTTTCTGGGCCTGATCCTTAGCGGTTAGCGGTAAATCCGATGCTAAAGGTCTCTAGTTTTTTATTCATGACCTCTGAATTTTTGGCTTCCGTCAACCAAATCCCCAAAATCTCAAAGGCCTGAGTCCGTTTTATCATTATTTTGTTATTAACGTAGACGGAARCCAAAAACCTGGACGTTAGTCGCGTAAGAATGGGTGTAACGATTGCGCCAATAGATCTCTTTAGCTTGGCTGCATAACGTTTTGCCATTTCAGACCACGTGTCATTTCCTAGAATATCATTTCTTTGTTTAACGGTTGCAGATGAGAAGACATGGATACTGATACATCTCAAACAAAGAATCTTATTCTCGAGAGAATGACACTTGATAAACACTATAGTGCACCAATAGGCCCTTTGCAGCTCAGTAATTACGTGCTGATTAATTCACTGAGAGCAAATGAATGAACATCATTCCCTTGGGTGAAATATACTGGTGAGCAAACAAACTTTCTACAACCTGTTTCGAGAGATCGTAATAAAACTGCATTTCGTAACACACTGGTTACCCCATATCCTCATAGATACATGGATTAGATACAAGTAGAAAAAAAAGCATACGAGGTGTCTATATACACGTTCTATTGGAACTCACCTTTGTGTTGTAAATCTCAGCATTCTGTGATGTTTTGTACAACTTGGGGTACTTGAGCATACTCTCTGAAGACACGGTGCGGTCAAACAGGCCAATTGCTAGGGGAGGTACTGAAGTGAAGAGCTGATGAGAAAAAGACATGTTAGGATGGAGACACGGTGCGGTCAAACAGACCAATTGCTAGGGGAGGTACTGAAGTGAAGAGCTGATGAGAAAAAGACATGTTAGGATGGAGACACGGTGCGGTAAAATAGACCAATTGCTAGGGGAGGTACAGATGAGGAAGAGACGTGTTAGGATGGAGACACGGTGGGGTCAAACAGACCAATTGCTAGGGGAGGTACTGAAGACACTTACCACATTGTAGATACCGATACACCATTTGTCAAACAGAATCTGACCTGAGAACCCATTTTCCAGGGCAAACCACAACTAAAGAGAGAGGATATATGTTAAACGAAGCAAAACAGTAACAGAATCACGTGCTAAGAAATGTTTAGGCGACTAGACAAGGAACGTGATTCACAATATTTTGGGAGTGTATAGAATTTGTAAGGTCAAAACACTAATAGCCATTCAAAACACAAGCGAATTAATAATRCTGATAATACTGATAATAGTGTTAATAGTCTCCACTCTCTTTGGAAACAAGGAAATCAAGAGTGGCATAGCAGTTTGCATTGTTAGGTCTCTCCCTTTGGTTCAATCTGTGAGTTAGCCATGCCTTGACTTAGGTCAGCCCAGAGATTGTTTCAGGGTTTGATCTGTGAGTTAGCCATGCCCTGACTTAGGTTGCCCAGAGGTTGTTTCAGGGTTCGATCTGTGAGTTAGCCATGCCCTGACTTAGATCAGCCCAGAAGTTGTTTCAGGGTTTGATCTGTGAGTTAACCGTGCCCTGACTTAGATCAGCCCAGAGGTTGCTTCAGGGTTCGATCTGTGAGTTAGCCATGCCCTGACTTAGATCAGCCCAGAGGTTGTTGCAGGGTTTGAGCTGTGAGTTAGCCGTGCCCTGACTTAGATCAGCCCAGAGGTTGTTTCAGGGTTCGATCTGTGAGTTAACGATGCCCTGACTTGGATCAGCCCAGAGGTTGTTTCAGGGTTTGATCAGTGAATTAGCCAGAGGTTGTTTGCAACATTTAAAACTCTGCATAATAGTGTCCAGTCTGGTGGGAAACATATACATATACATTTAATATTCCGAGGTGCTGCAATTTATTTTAGCTCACCTCAATGACGTAAAGGCAGACATTCTTGTAGAAGGAGTACAATATGAGTTTCGACAAACGTTGATAGCTCCATGCCCCATGTACGAACAGCAGTTTATTGAGGTAACGAAACTAGATCAAGATAGGAAACGAATTATAACTGATGGTCCACTCACTCAGAGGGGGAGGGGAGGGGATGAACGTGGTGGTTAGTAGCTACCTGTGCAATGGCGTAATCCGATGCGCTGGCTGCCTGCAGCCCCTCAGCACCACTTATTCCAACACCAACATGTGCTGCCTGAAGTAAAAAAAGAAAAACAGGGTTGCGTTACAATGGGCGAATGTTGACAATGGTGTTACATACATGATGATGTATGAGGGTGATGATAATACATGATGATGATACATGATGATGATACTTGATAATGATACATGATGATGATACATGATGATGATACATGA